TGCTAGTAGAGGGAAAAAGGAAACAATATTCCTGCCCACCTCTAATTGGGGAAAACCAGCCTGGCCCTCCAGAATGCCTACACTGAGGGAAGATAAAACATTTCCTCACTTTGGGAGTTCTGCATACTTAATTTGTAAAACATATGTGTGTGGAGCACCGGTGTTACTGGGCAGGTATAAAACATTTTGATCATCACAGAAAGTTTTTTAGATACTATTAGATACTTCTAGGTACGATTAGAACATATGGGCTTAGCCACAGAAGAGCTCCAAGGGCATATGGTACCCCTGGATGCCTCGTAGGTGAAGGGAATTTAAAACTGCACTAGGGCATCAGCTTCTCCTTGGCTGTTGTCCATTGTTCAACTAAGAAATAATGAATGCAAGTATTACCTATTTCCTAAATTGATGGAAGAAGAGGATCACCATGGGACATTATGGTGGCTTAAGGGCACACAAATTGTATGCATCTAAATAGAGACTGAATCGCTATTTTTGTTAATTTCCTACAGCCTATAACAGGACACAACCTGTACTGAAATAACGACTCCCACCCCCACATGGCAATTTGATTATGTTGTTCCTTCTGCCAGAAATGATCTTCCCTGTTCCTCAAGGCCCAACTCAGTGCTATTCCCTTTTAAGCTGCCTCTAGTCCCTTTCAGGATTAATCCCTTCTTTGGCTCTCTGAATTTCTCTTATGCAGGGTATCATATACTGACTTTATTAGTCACTGGTCTCTACCTGCTCTTGCCCTTGACATTTCCAAGGTCCAGGGCTTACTGCCTTCTCCCTGCAATTCAGTTTTTTGCATAGATGTCAAAATAGGATGTGTCAAAGCTCTCACCTTACCTCACTCAATCCTCCCAACTCTGAGAGGGAAGCAGGCATAGATATTTTTTCTGTTTCACAAATAAAGTAACTTAAGACTCAGAGTGTATACATAACTTGCCCAAGGTCACAATCCCAGCTGGTAAGTGGCAGGGCTAGATTCTGCCACACTTACAGGCTGGAAAAAAAATTCCAGTCTATGTTTGAGACCCTTTTGGAAGAATCTGGATTTCAAATCTGAGGTCTGAGAAAACCCAGAAACTGCCAGATTACAACCTATAATATCAAGCTTATTATTTCCAAGAAAAAAGAACATGTTTTCAGAGAATCAAGCTCAGAGACCTGGGTTCCTATCTCTCCAAGATCCTGTTTCCCCATCTATAAAACAGGAAGGTAGTGACTGGATTAGCAACTCTAAGGATCCTCCCTGAGTGCATGTGAACAACTTTGGTGTCTGGGAGCTGTGGGTAGGCTAGCCTGAAAATGCTCCTTTCTCTTCGCAGATTTGCAGCAGGAAGGGCCAGCAGCCAAGCTGTAGGGCCGGTGGGAGAGATTGGGAAAAGGACAACCGACCCCAGGACAGGGATTTAGTCAGGGCAGAGTACAGGAGTAGGATGGCTCAACCCTCCTTGCCCCATCCCCAGAACAATGGTGTAGAACCCCCAGGAAGCACTTAGAGCAGGGGCAGTACTGTGTTAGGAGGCAGAGGCCTGTGGGGTCCCAAATGCCATCACTAATGGACTGGGTCCCCAGTAAGTAATAGGCCTGTCTGTCCATTTATGTCATAAGGGAGAATCCAAACCAGTGCCAATGGCAAGTGGGGGCAGTCTGGGGCCACAGCTCCCACACTGGGGTCCCAGATGGCTTGCCCACAAGCAGTTGCCTGGGACAAGTCCTGAACTAAAGAACATCATCAGAAGCAATTTGTATTAGTCCATTCTGACGCTGCTATAAAGAACTACCTAAGATGGGTAATTTATGAGGAAAAGAGATTTAATCAGCTCATAGTTCTGCCAGCTTAACAGGAAGCATGACTGGGAGGTCTCAGGAAATTTACAATCATGGCAGAATGCGAAGGGGAAGCAAGCACCTTCTTTATATAGTGGCAGGGGAGAGAGAGAGAGAGAAGGGGGAAGTGCCACGTGCTTTAAAATGATCAGATCTCATGAGAAGTCACTCACTATCCTGAGAACAGCAATGGGGGAAATCTGCCCCCACAATCCAATCACCTCTCACTGGGCCCCTCCTCCAATTTGACATGAGATTTGGGCAGGGACCATATCACCACCTGCTCCGTGGTCTGTGCACACTTGAAACAAGTTTCCATTTCCCTCTAAGAAGCTCAGAGGCCTGTAGGGTTTGGTGGTTCACTCACCTGAGATCAGCTCCATTTCCCTCTAGGACGCTCAAAGGCCTGTGGGGTTTGGTGGTTCACTCACCTGAGATCAGCTCCATTTCCCTCTAGGAAGCTCAGAGGCCTGTGGGGTTTGGTGGTTCACTCACCTGAGATCAGCTCCCCAAAGGAGTCCCTGAGACCCCAGCATCCAGAAAACGCTTCCTTTCACCAAGTCACCCCCGAGGCTATGTTTGGTGATCACCGCTGACCCTCCCTGCTCTCATAACAGGGCCTGGCACACCACTGGCAGGAAGAAACCTGAAAGGAATTAAAAAACAGGATGAATGGAGGTCAGAGAAAGCATCTTGCAATAGAAAGAAGAGAAGGAGAAATGCTCTAAAGACCAGAAATCAAAGCCTAACTTACCCTTCTCAGACAGTAAAATGTTACTCAGCTACTAGGCTGTTTGCCAAGCCTCAGGATCCTCATCTGCAAACTAATGATCCTATGATACTCTTGTAGAGGCACTGGGAGTGCAAAGCAGATAAGCAGCTGTAAGGGATGTCCACGTCTTGTTCCCTCTAAGCCCCTCAATATAGCCAGCCACCACAGGCAACTTTCTACAACCCATACTGATCAGATTATTCTCTGTTAAAAGCTTTCCACAGCAACCTGGATCAAGGACATGTTTCTTAGAGGCTAGAGTGTACTTTGTGTTGGATGCCATGAAAACAATGGTGGCCTGACCATACGGTGCTCACATCCAGCTAAGGGAACAGCTAAGAGTTAGTGTCAGGGGACTCAACTGTGAACCAGAGAGGTATTAGCCAAGATGGGTCTTACAGTACAGCAGGGAGGCCAGTAAGTGGATAGTGTTAATGGAGTATGACAAATAAGGACCATAACCTATTGGTTATGGCAATAGCATAGCATGGCAGGCCACCACAGGAGCAAAAAGGAAGCTACCCCTAATCGAAGTGAGGGGCAGAAAAGGCTTCCTGGAGAAAGGGCTTCTTGTCAGTGCTTTGAAGGATAAGAAGGAGTTTTTGAGGTGAAAGGAGAATCTCACCATTCTCTTAGTTAGAGCTTGGGCCCCATTCACTCCCATTCACAGTGGCTGGGGTTTTCTGCACATATCACAGCAAGTACCCCCACCCTATGTGTCTAGGGCCCCACCTTCTTTTTAGGGTGTGTAGGCGTGTTCTGGCTAGGGAAAAGGGACTATCCACATAGATGATGTCAGAAGGTCTGAGCAGTTTGGGGGCAGAGACTCTCCAGACCTCCTGTGCTCCGCTCTTTCTGTTTTTTTTTTTTTTTTTTTTTTTGAGACAGGGTCTTGTTCTGTCCCAAGGTGGAGTGCAATGGCACAAACACTGCTCACTCACTGCAGCCTCAAACTCCTAGGCTCAAGTGATCCTCCCACCTCAGCCTCTGGAATAGGTAGGACTACAGGTATAAGCCACCATGCTTGGCTACATTTTAAATTTTTGTAGAGACAGAGTTTCACCATATTGCCCATGCTGGTCTAAAACCCCTGGCTTCAAGTGATCCACCCACCTTGGCCTCCCAAAGTGTTGGGATGACAGGTATGAGCCACTATGCCCAGCCTCTTTGTGGTCTTAAATCCAGGAAGTTCCTGGGGACACGCTCACAGCTGCCCTAACTCCAGGCAGGATTTAACATGGGAAGTGATAGTGATGATGCAGAGCAGCACAGTGATTGCTATAGATATTCTCTTTTATTATTATTACATACATACAGGGCAAACGTGGCAGACCTTAGTAACAATATGGATACAGTGGATGAACTGAGAGGAAACAAGGATGGTAAACACTACTAGAAAACACCTATAATACTTACAATGTGTCAGGCACCATTCTAAATGCTTTATGTATTTTATCTCATCCAATCCTCACAACTCTACAATTCAAGTATATTATTATCCCCATTCTCCAGATAAGGAAGCTATGCACAGAGAGGCCAAGTAACTTGCCCGTGGTCACCCAGCTTATGGGATGACACCCAGGGTTCCCTGGGTGAATAATACTTTTTACAGTGATGGGAATATAGGTTTGAGCTTGAGGGTTGTGGAAAGATGGTAAGTTTCGTTTCAGGCATATAGAACTTGAGTTACCTATTTGTTAGCTCTCATCCCAAAGCTTGAATGATGGTTTTCAAGAGAGATCGAGTTGGAGTACAGAATTCCCAAAGGCCTTCTGGAGTTGTATTTGGCCCAAATGTAGGTGTTCCAAGGTGCTATATTGAGGCATCATGGAGCGTCTTGCCCACTGGGGCCAAACCCAGTCATGGTAGATCAGGTCAGGCCCACAGTGCTGGTCACGGAAGTGCCTCTGAAGTCTAAACACACTTGCTCAGATGGGTCTGGTCTTCACATCCAATGAATGCCAACAACCTGAGCAAGAAACAGCTCTGAATAACAAAAAACCTCAATCTTGGCTATAAAATCCTTGTATTTCTTATACTAGGAAGCCAGGACTTCAGGACAACACATGGTCAAGGAAACCTGAAAATCAGGTCTGAGAGTATTTAGCCTGGCCTTGAGAGATTTCCTCCTCAAGAATCCTAAGCTTCTGAGGCCTTGATTTGCCAGTAGGCAATGTCTAGCATCAATGTCAGGCAGAGGCTGGGGTTTCTGGTTTTAAATAGCCAAAACCTCCTTGTGAGATTTCCAAATGTAGAAGGGGACCTTGATAACAGGAAGCCACCCATTAGGATCAATGGACAAAGACTGCTCCAAGAAATTACTTTTAAGCTTATGGGAACTCTGGAGCAGGACTTCTGGTGTCTGTTTCTATCTTGGACCATGCAGATATATGAGGAACATATGTCGGGGCCAGAGTTAGGCCCAGGACACCTGTGAAATACTGCCATCCCTAGAGAGCCCAGGAGACTGTTTACTTTGGGACCTGTAAAGGATCTACCTCCTGGGCTATAATGAAGATACATAGTTAACTTCATCATGCTTCTGCCCTTCACCCATGGTCATTAACATGCAGGACCTGCTCAGTCGTGTCAGTAACAAGGACCTGTTCATATACGACTTCTGTATCCAAACCATTCTTCAAAGTGAAGTTCACCTGGGTACCACCTGACACCCAGAGGCTAGACAATTGCCTCCTAGGTTACAAACTGCTCCCACATCTCACTTTATCTGCTCCTTGGTCGCCCTAGGGACCTCTACATGGACACCAGAATGCTGGTGCTATCTTAGTAAATATTAACCACATTTATGGGCCAAAATATCACAATTTCTAGACATGCTTCTTGATTTTTAAGATGCAGGTGCTCGCTGCTCCCTTCACTGAGACTTCAGATTGGGCATCACACATGGTATAACTGATTGCTCAGGATATGCCAGGCCTTTTGCTATGTAGTGTCTGTGTGTTACCTCATTGGGTGTTCCCAGCCCTGTGAGGTCCGCGCTATGCTCTGCAATTTTTCAGTTGAGAAAACAGGCTTGGAGGTTGGGTATGTTTCCCAATGTCACCTGGAGGAGATGGGGCAGAGCTGGGGAGCGTCTGGGTCTCCCGACTATGGCCTGAGAGCAGGATGTGAGGGGCCTGAGCCCTGACGAGTCCGCGCCCCCGCCCCGCGGCAGGTGGCCGGGCACTGCCGGTAAGAAGGCCCTGCCAGGTCTCCCGGGTGACGGGACGCGCGCGCCCACCTTCGCAAACGAGACTTCCGGGATCCCGGAGGGGCCGGAAGTCGAGGCCTCTCTCACTTCCGGCTCGGCCATTGTGTTTGCTTGAACTGGCAGTAGAGGTCTCTGGCTTCGTTGCCGAATGCCACCGCGAGTGGGCCGGGACGCGGAGGGAGGCGCGGCCGGAGCTCGGATCGCCGAAGCCGGCCGGGACCGCGCTTCTTCCCCGCGGCAGGTGGCGCGGTCCCGGAGACTCTCAGAAGCCGCCTGATGCAGAGCCGCTTCTTTGTCCCATACCCCTGACCATCCGTGCGTGGCACGGAGCCGGGTATCTGCGGGTACAGCGATGAACAGGGCAGACGTGGCCAGGTGAGCAGCGCTGCTGAAGCCTGGTTTAACACGAAAGGTAGATCGCTGTTTTCCCAGCTCTTGCAGCCGGAAACTATGAACCGTCAGATTTGGGTCAGACCCAGGCTTGGAATCACAAACGTGGAGCGTGACTTGGAAATGCAAAAATCCAGTTGAGATTTTAAAGTGCTGAGCATTTGGAACAATCCGGGAAGTAGGAGAATGGCCTGAACTTCTTACCTGTGTGGTATCTTAGAGCAGAGTTTACTGATTATTTTCAAGTACTTCTTTGTGTTTTTAAGGAGATTGAGACTCAGGGATCTGGGATGCTTGGTGAATTGGAAGTGCAGCACAGATGCCCTAGGTACCACTAAGGTGCTGATTTTCAATCGTTCAAAGTTTTCCTCCACTTCAGTATCAGCTAAATGTATCATATTCATTCGTTTCCCAATTATGTGCCTCTGTATGCCATGTACACACATGTACCAAGATGACTGGAAGTCAGCTCTGCCCTTTGTATACTCCCAGAAAGAGGGGAGACAGTCGTGTAAACCACAAACGATTATAGTGTGAGACGTGCTCTACTAGAGGTTTGAATGAAAAACGTAGTTTGGGATCACTAAGACGATAACTACCCCTCTAAGCCTAGCGTGATCAGAGAAAGCTTTCTAGGGGAGGTGCATTGAGTAAAAAAAAGGTCTGGTATATTCCGATGCCACCTGATTCCTTTCCTTTTGTGACCATCCAGCAGTTTGGAGGGTGAGAGTAGTGAGTTGTGCATAAACCATTTAAAATAAAGGGTTTTAGTGAGAGGTACACAACAGGAAGCTACCAGCACTCTTCCTGATGGGGCAATCAGGAAAGCCAAGAGAAAATGGCATTTGTTCATGGTCTTGACAGACAAGGTTGTCTCAAGTTGAAAGAAATAAGAAAAATTCAAACAAAAACTGTATGTGGCTTCTAGCTGTGTCTCTATAGCTTTAGCTCCAAGCTTTCTTTATTTTGCATTTCTATCAGTAGAAGTTTGATCATGTAGTCCCTACATTGGTTTATTTGTAATTTAAACATGAGAACTACCATACAAATTATAATACACATTATAAAACATACATTAAATGGAGTTAAATAACTTAGTATTTTCTCTTGCACCCTTTGAGATATCCTGCATTTCCCTATTATTGTCTTTATAGCATGGGTAATTGGGGCAAGAGGTAGGGAGTGTGGCTGGTTGTGAAGGGGGTAAGGCCAGGTTGTGAAGGGCTGTGACTGCAAGGCATAGACATTTAGATTTTATTCTGTAGGTAATGGGAGCCACTGAAACTTTAAGAAAGGCATTATTTGGAGAGATGCTTAGGGAGAATGCCCGGTGTGTTCTTTTTTTCCTGGAGCTTTGTTTTTTAACTCAGTGGAAGATATCATCATCCTGGGGCTGAACACTCAGAGAACTCTGATTTCTCTCTTGTTTCTGTAGGCAACACTGCCGTCACACCTTTCCCCAACCCTGAAAAATAGCTCCTGAGACCTGAACTGTAGACCATCATTTTAATCGGATCAATTGCAACTGGAACAAGCTTCTCTTTGGCGTCACAATGACCACTGAAGGCAGGGGAAATGTAGGCCTCATCCTCAGGAGTACTGCTTTCCAGAAACAAGAAGGGCGCCTGACTATGAAGCAGGAGCCAGCGAGCCAGACCTGGGGTCAGGGCAGCAGTCTCCAAAAGAACCATCCTCCTGTCTGTGAAATCTTCCGGCTACACTTCAGGCAATTATGTTACCACGAGATGTCTGGGCCACAGGAAGCATTGAGCCGGCTCCGAGAGCTCTGCCACTGGTGGCTCATGCCAGAGGTCCACACCAAGGAGCAGATCCTGGAGCTGCTGGTGCTGGAGCAGTTCCTGAGCATCCTCCCTGGGGAGCTCCGGACCTGGGTGCAGCTACATCACCCTGAGAGTGGTGAGGAGGCTGTGGCTGTGGTGGAGGATTTCCAGAGACACCTCAGTGGACCAGAGGAGGTAAGCAGTTGAGTCTAGAATGGTGTCCTGAACCATTCTCTAATGCTTGGGCTAGCCTAGGCATAGGCATTCTCCACTTTCCAGGCCCTAGGCTAGTTTGCCTTTAGGGTTCCTGAACTTGTCCTGTGGATAGAGGGGAAATAGTTTTGTGCTCCAAGCCATAAACACAAATGCACATCCCAGCTAAGCTCTGTGATTCGCCTTATGAAATACTGTGTTCTGAGCCTAGCTTCATCCTGTAGATTTACACAGTAATCCTGGCAGGTAGGGGATCTGCACGCTGGTTAGAATAGAGTGATCGGGGGAAGATGGGCTTTTGGGTATGCTGATAATATGGGTCTTCATTTGAGACATTCTCATTATTCACTTCCTTGGACTTCTCAGTCAATTTTCTCTTTTCCTGTCTCTTTGATTTTTTGAAAGGTGACATTTTTGGGCGTTGTAATTATTTGTTCTTTTTGCTAGCTCTCCAAGCCTAACTGGGATCTTTTTGCATCTTTAATTCTAATTTAAATTTTCCCTATTTCCCTGAGTTATCGCAAATGTAATGCCAAGGTAATTTAAACTAGAGGAATAGTTGGGAAAAGCGAGCAGTAAGACACATTGGAAAATCTGGTTCCTAGGACCATAGAGTTAACTAGTTCTGTGACTGTGTGTTTCAGTCAGGGTTCAGCCAGAGAGGCAGAATCAATAGGAGAGAGAGGGGTGTGTGTGTGTGTGTGTGTGTGTGTGTGTGTGTGCATGCCCATGCATGTGTGAAAAGATTTATTGCCGGCTGGGTGCAGTAACACATGCCTTTAATCCCAGCACTTTGGGAGGCCAAAGTGGGTGGATCACTTGAGGTCAGGAGTTTGAGACCAGCCTGGCTAATATGGCAAAACCCTGTCTCTACTAAAAATACAAAAATTAGCCAGGCTTGGCGGTGTGTGCCTGTAATCCCAGCTACTGGGGAGGCTGAGGCAGGAGAATCACTTGAACCCAGGAGGCAGAGGTTGCAGTAAGCCAAGATCACGCCACTACACTCCAGCCTGGGTAACAGCAAGACTCCATCTTAAGAAAAAAAAAAGAGAGAGATTTATTGCTAGAAAGTATCTTATGTAATTGTGAGTCTGGCTAGGCAAGTCTGAAACCCATAGGCAGGTCATCAACAGGGGCAGCCTGAAGCAGTGGCACAAGCTGAAGTTGCAGTGTACAGGTGGAATTTCTTTCTTCTTTCTCCTTCTTTTTCTCCTCTTCCTCTTTTTCCTCCTCTTCCACCTCTTCCTCTTTCTCTTCCTTCACTACTTCCTCCTCCTCCTATTTCTCTTTCTTTTTCCTTCTTCCTCTTCTTTTTTCTCCTTTCTTCCTCCTCTTTTTTATTTTTATTTTTTTTTGAGACAGGGTCTTGCTCTGTTGCCAACACCAGAATGCAGTGGCATGAACTTGGCTCACTGCAAGCACAGCCTCCTGGGCTCTAGTGATCCTCTCACCTTAGCCTCCTGAGTAGCTGGTAACACAGTCATGTGTTCCCAGGCTTCTTTCCTTCCTTCCTTCCTTCGTCTTCTTTCTTTTCTCTTTTCTTTTCTTTTTGTAAACATGTGGTCTTGCTATGCTGCCCAGGCTTGTTGTTGAACTCCTAGCCACAAGCGATCTTCTTGCCTTGGCCTCCCAAAGCACTGGGATTACAGATATCAGCTACCACACCTGGCCTGGTATTTCTTCTTCATGGAACCTTTAGCTCTGCTTTTAAGGGCTTACCACTGATTGAGTCAGGTTCATGCATTCATCCATTATCTAGTATAATCTCCCTTATTTAAAGTAAACTTATTATGTGCTTTAATCATATTTTAAAAATAGTTTACAGCAACACCTGCATTGATGTTTGATTAGTACCAAGTTGACACATCAAAAGATCATCGTACCTTGGATAAGTTAGTTCCTCCTAATGAGTTTCAAATTGTTCCCCTGTAATATAAGCAGCGTGGACTAGAGGTCCCCTCTACTTTACCGCTTAGCACTTTACCAGGGAAAACCAGAATAGAAGATTTCCCAAGTACCCAATATATCATTTTATTTAATGCTTTTTTTTTTCTGAGAGAGTCTCACTCTATTGCCCAGGCTGGAGTGTAGTGGCACAATCTTGGCTCACTTCAACCTCCACCTCCCTGGCTCAAGTGATCCTCCCATCTCAGCTCCCCTAGTAGCTGGGACCATAGATGTGAGCCGCCACGTCTGGTTAATTTTGTATTTTTAGTAGAGACAGGGTTTTGGCATGTTGTCCAGGCTGGTCTTAAACTCCTGAGCTCTAGTGAGCCACCTGCCGCATCCTCCCAAAATGCCAGAATTAATAGGTGTGAGCCACCATGCCCAGCCTATTCAATGCTTTTTTTTTAAAAAAAGCATTGAATTACGTATCTATCACTAGGAAATCAGTTCTAGTTGATCAGGGTCCTGGGGCTAGACATTTTTCCAGGATTATCAGCAGTGCAATTTGTCATTATCAACCATCATTTTCTTTGTGTAAACAAGTAAGCACATATGAGTACATCAACCATCACAAGGGCCTAAAGAACAGCTGGGCCAGCCATGGCCATGACAGGTGGCTGAAGACATATTTAGAGAACCATTTAGCGAGGGTGGCAGAAGAAAAATTTCTCTATTTCCTACTTGGTTTTGCTTAAGAAGTGAATGCTTCCTGGCCGGGCACAGTGGCTCACGCCTGTAATCCTAGCACTTTGGGAGGCTGAGATGGGCGGATCACCTGAGGTCAGGAGTTCGAGACCAGCCTGACCAACATGGAGAAACCCCATCTCTACTAAATACAAAAAATTAGCTGGGTATGGTGGTGCATGCCTGTAATCCCAGGTGCTTGGGAGGCTGAAGCAGGAGAATCGCTTGAACCTGGGAGGCGGAGGGCAAAGGTTGCGGTGAGCCACAATTGTACCATTGCACTCCAGCCTGAGCAATAAGAGCAAAACTCTGTCTAAAAAAAAAAAAAAGTGAATGCTTCCTCTATTAAAACTTTTAATGTTTTATCCATGTAGCCTCAGCAAAGGGTGACAGTTGAATCACAACCCAAGAAAATGCCTAGCAGTTGACAGGTGAGGCAGCTGAATGCTCAGGCTCCAACCTGGGAGTAGGGTCCTTGGAGTCCATTTCTTACTCTCCCACTACTGTCAGTGTTATGTTTTCTGACATGAAGGCATAAAGGCAGGACTGTCTTTCGTAAGCAGGGATTCAGAAAATGTTTATAGAATGGCTAAATGAATAAACAGACTTTTCCATGGAAGTTTGCCAAGAGGAGATTAAGGAGGGTCCTGGTAAATTGAAGTCATTTTGCTTATCAGGAGTAAGCCACTTTATTGTTGTAGAAGGAACATGTACATTGTGTACATTGTGTCTGGAAAAGGATTGTAGAGTGATCCCTGCTGGGCAGCAGAGTCATGCAATTTGCAGAATGCTGTATCTTCTTTTTTTTTTTTCTTTTACTTTATTTTTTCTTTCTTTTTTTTTTTTTAACTTTTTTTTAGAATGCTGTATCTTTTTTCATCTACCATCAGAGTTATAGAACAAGCAGTGCAGTAATCATTATCTCCATTTGACAAGTGAGCACTTGTAGTAAGCATTCCCTTGCTGAAAATATTTACCTGAAGTGTGGTTTTTGCTGATTATCATCAAGTGTGAAGACCAGGATTTTCCATCTCCCTAGTTTCTAAGCCAACAGCTTTTATCTAGGGTTTTACTATGGAAAGCTATATTAGAATGAGGTTTTCACGTCTTCAAGAAAAGGAAACCTATGACTCTATTAGTCTGTTTCCATACTGCTATAAAGAACTACCTGAAACTGAGTAATTATGAAGAGAAGAGGTTTAATTGGCCCACAGTTTCTCAGGCTTAACAGGAAGCATGACTGGGAGGCCTTAGGAAACTTACAATCATGGCAGAAGGCAAAGAGGAAGCAAAGACATTCTTCACATTGTGGCAGAAGAGAATGTAGGGGGAAATGACACACATTTTCAAATGATCATTTTAAATGAAAACTCACAAGAACAGCAAGGGGGAAATCCACCCTATGATCCAATCATCTCCCACCAGGCCCCTCCTCCAATTTGACATGAGATTTGGGTGGGGACACAAATCTAAACCACTATAACTCTGTCCCTGGCTGCTCCCAAATCTCATGTCCTCTTACATTGCAAAATACAATTACCCTTCTTAACAGTTCCCCAGTCTTAACTCATTTCAGCATTAACTCAAAAGTCCACAGTCCAAAGTCTCATCTGAGACATGGTAAGTCCCTTTCACCTATGAGCCTGTAAAATCAAAAACTAGTTAGTTACTTCTAAGATACAATGGTGGTACAGGCATTTGGTAAATGCTCCCATTCCAAATGGGAGAAATTGGCTAAAACAAAGGGGCTACATGTCCCATGCAAGTCCAAACCCAGTAGGACAATCATTAAGTCTTAAAGCTCCAAAAATAATCTCTTTTGACTCCATGTCTCACATCCAGGTCATACTGATGGAAAAGATTGGTTCCCAAGGCCTTGGGCATCTCAGCCCCTGTGGCTCTGCAGGGTATAGCCCCCATGGCTGCATTCACCAGCTGATATTGAGTGCCTGCACCTGGGTGCAAGCTGTTGGTGGATTTACCATTCTGGGGTCTGGAGGATGGTGGCCCTCTTCTCACAGCTCCACTAGGCAATACCTCAGTGGGACTCTGTGTGGGGGCTCCAACCTTACATTTCCCCTCCACACTGCCTTAGTAGAGGTTCTCCATGACAGCTCTGACCCTGCAGCAGAATTCTGCCTGGACATCCAGGTGTTTCCATACCTCCTCTGAAGTCTGGGAGGAGGTTCCCAAACCTCAGCTCTTGCCTTCTGCACACCCACAGGCCCAACACCATGTGAAAGGTGCCAAAGCTTGGGGCTTGCACCCTGTAAAGCCACAGCCTGAGCTATACCTTGGCCCCTTTTAGCCATGGCTGGAGCTGGACTGACTGGGACACAGGGCACCATGTCCTGAGGCTGCACAGAGCAGCTAGATCCGGGGCCTGGCCTATGAAACCATTGTTTCTTCCTAGTCCTCCAGGCCTGTGATGGGAGGGGTTGTTGTGAATGTCTCCGAAATGCCTTGGAGACATTTTCCCCGTTGTCTTGGCTATTAACATTTGATTCCTCTTTACTTACTCAAATTTCTGCAGCAGGCTTGAATTTCTCCCCAGAAAATGGGTTTTTCTCTTCTACCATGTGGCCAGGCTGCAAATTTTCCAAACTTTTATGCTCTACTTTCCTCTTAAATATAAGTTCCAGTTTCAGATCTCTTTGCTCACAAATACTGTGGACACTTTTTAGAAACAGCCAGGTCACTTCTTGAATGCTTTGCTGTTTAGAAATTTCTTCTGCCAGATACCCTGAATCATCTCTCTCAAGTTCAAAGTTCCACAGATCTCTAGGGAAGGGGCAAAATGCTGTTGGTCTCTTTCCTAAAGCATAGCAAGAATGACCTTTGCTCCAGTTCCCAGTAAGTTTTGCATCTCCATCTGAGACCACATCAGCCTGGACTTCATTGTCCATATCACTATCAACATTTTATTCAAAGCCATTCAACAAGTCTCTAGGAAGTTCCAAACTTTCCCACATCTTCCTGTCTTCTTCTGAGCCCTCCAAACTGTTCCAACCTCTGCCTGTTACCCAGTTTCAAAGTTGCTTCCACATTTCCAGGTATCTTTATATCAGTGCCCCACTTTCCTGGTACCAATTTTCTGTATTAGTCTGCTTTCACGCCGCTGTAAAGAACTACCTGAGACTGGGTAATTTATGAAGAGAAGAGGATTAATTGACTCGCAGTTCTGCAGGCTTAACAGCAAGCATGACTGGGAGGCCTCAGGAAACTTACAATTATAGTGGAAGGTGAAGGGGAAGCAAGGAACTTCTTCACATTGTGGTAGGAGAGAGAGAGCACACAGAGGGAAGTGCCACACACTTTTAAACAATCAGATCTTTTGAGAACTCACTATTACAAGAACAGCAAGGGGGAAATCTGCCCCCACCACTGTGATCCCATCACTTCCCACCAGGCCCCTCCTCCTATTCAACATGAGATTTGGGCAGGGACACAAATCCAAACCATATCAAAGTCCTAGATAATTAACAGGAACTTTGCTAGGATTTAATTGTTACTGAATTACAAAGTTGAATTATCACAGTGCAGTAAGTTCTATCTTCTGCCAATACCCAAAGCTCCTGTATTGAAGAGCTGTGACTCCCATTTTAGGGAGTCCTTCAGTTTCAAAAAACCTTTCAGTGGGAAAGCTTGGGAACTACAGAATCTAAGGAGCCTGCTGGTTCTAGCACTACACTGGTGCGATGAATATTAAAGGAGAGAATCCCTTAACATCTCAGCAGATGCAACCTAATAGGGCAAATCCTGTGTGGTTTATTGAAGGGGAAGTTATTTTTACTTCATGCTGTGCTATGTACATACCAGAGCAAGTGAACTTTAAAATGTGCCTTATTTAGATAACATTTTAGGTTTTCTGCCTTACATACTGGTAAAAGCAGTAACCATGAGATTGTGAGGAGCTGATTTGATGACAATAAGCAAGGGTTAGATGTCTATGCTCTGAGGTATTCTCAAGGTCTCCACAAGTTAGTGTTATCTGATCTTATTTGGCTTTTTAAATATAAATTATTGGGGAGAGGTAATATATATTGAAAACTGAGTTTGCAGATAACCTTAAATCTTTTAGTAAAATACCAAGAGGAAGTCAGCAGATATTAATTGAACACCAATGTAGGGATATATGTTGTTTTGGAGCTAGTGATCAAAAGTTCTTATCCTTAAAATGTTACATTCTATTGGGGAGACATAGACAATAAAGACCTAAGTAAAATTACTTAAAGATTAATACTTGTAATATATAAATTACAATGGGTTAATTGAGTCTGACTATCTGCTTTGTCAGTGTGTTTAGGGAAAGCTTCTCTGAAGAGGAGACACTTTTTCTCAGAGAAATTGGAAAAGCTCTCGAGGCTTGCCAGCCACTGTTCTGGGTATTGCTTCAGCTGTTAGCGTCAGTAGCATTATTTGTGCACATGAACATACACATACCTATCTTTTTTTAAAATATCCTTTGTACTTTTTTTTTTTTTTTTAAGATGGAGTCTTACTCTGTTACCCAGGCTGGAGTGCAGTGGCACAATCTTGGCTCACTGCAACTTCCACTTCCCGGTTGAAGTGATTCTCCTGCCTCAGCCTCTTGAGTAGTTGGGACTACAGGTGCATGTCACCACACCCAGCTAATTTTTTGTATTTTTAGTAGAGACAGGGTTTCGCCATGTTGGCCAGGCTGGTCTCAAACTCCTGACCTCAGGTGATCCACCCACCTCAGCCTCCCAAAGTGCTGGGATTACAGGTGTGAGTCACCACGCCCAGCATATTGTTTGTACTTCTGACTGTTCCCTTCTGTCAGCTAGTGCCCTAGAGAATGTACTGAATTGCTCTCCTGGCTCCCTTTTTAAATGGTTCTTCATAAGAAAATATGTGTCTGAAGACCTGACATAGAGTGTAAATGGTTATAGAATCTGGTTTTCAAGCTCCTAGCAAGAGGGTCAACAGAGGTATGGCGAGTAGAATTGGGAGCTTTAGATTCTGCTTTCAGTTTTTTTTCCCCAGTAGGCTGTAGTGGTGGGCTGGAAGGATACTCTGGCTCTTCTTTTTCCTAGCTTTCTTTCTGGTGAGGGCTGCTTAGAGGTTTGAGGTTCAGTACTTTCAAGGACGCTCTTTTGAACCCAATTGTATTTCCCTGTCTCTAGGTTTCAGCCCCAGCACAGGAGCAGGAAATGCATTTGGAGGAGACAACAGCTCTGGCTGCAACAAAGGAATCTCCTCCTGTATCACCCCTCAGTGGGGGCTCAGCCCCTGGAGCCCACCTGCATCCTCCTTATGACTCAAGGACACACCACTTCGCCAATGGGGACTTTGGTACTTATCTCTCCAACTTTGGCCTTAAGTCATGCCTCCTTTCTCTTCTCTGGAGTCTCCTTTTCTTTATCTGCCCATCTCCTACCCCATGGAATCCCTCATTGCTCTGCTGTCTGTCCCCCTTCCCTAGTGACCCTATTTGTTCCTCTTGCTTATTCTCTAATCATTCATGTGTTTAGTAAGTTTTCATCAAGCACGTGTCATAGGAAAGGCACTGACAGAGACCAGAGAGATGTAGTACATCTATTGTCACTGATTTCAAAGAGTTGTTTTTCGAGGTGGAAGGATGAGTTAGTCATGTGTAAGAAGAGGCAGCCTCATAAGATGCACATGAATGATATTTGTTCCTCAGGCGTTTGATCCTGTCACAGATGAGCAATGTGGGCATTGTAAAAAGTGATCACTGGGTAAAAAGCAAGATCATTGTGGGCTGGAACTGGTAATGAATGCTTCATGAAGGAGATAGCAGTGTATTGGGCAGTAAAAATGTGGAAGAATTTTGAAGGGGAGAGAAAAGTAGTAGGCATGCCATTAGAAGATACAACAAAGACTCCAAGCTGGGGATTCCTTGAGCCCTGATTGAGGTGGAGTCAGGGAAGACTCTAGTTGGGCCTTGTTTATACAGGACCTTGAGCTTGAGCAGGAAGATTTTGGGAGCCAAGGATAATATGTTAGAAATAGTACGTCAGGAGGATTAGTCTGGCACAGATGAGCATTGTGGATTGAATGGGAAGGAGCCTTAGTTAAAGGCTAGTGCAGTAGAATAGATGTGAGGTGATTAATGCCTGAAGTGCAAAGAGAGGAATGGGCAAGGATAAATGTAAAAAAATGTTATCATGGAAGCATGGAACCATGGGACTTGAGTTTGAAAGGAGAGGCAAGGGGAATTACAATGTTTTGGCCAATGATGGAATCATTGAGGGAAATTGAGAAATCCAAAAGAAAGGTGATAAGAACATTTTATTTATTTATTTCATGTTATTTATTTATTTATTTTAGAGAGCTAGGATCTCACTCAGTCAACCAGGCTGGACTGCAATGGCACAATCATAATAGCTTACTGAACTCCTGGGCTCTTGAGCCCCTGAACTCCTGGGCTCAAGAAATCCTCTCAACATGACCTCCTAGAACTATAGGCATGACACCATGACCAGCTCTTTTTCAAAAAAAAAAAAAAAATTTTTATAGAAATGAGATTTCTTGTTGGGAGCAGTGGCTTACATACTTGTAATCCCAGCACTTTGGGAGGTGGAGTCAGGTGGATCACTTGAGTTCAGGAGTTCCAGACTAGCCTGGCCAACATGGTGAAACCCCGTCTCTACTTAGCAGGTGCTTGTAATCCCAGCAACTCCAGAGGATGAGGCAGGAGAATTGCGTGAGTCTGGGAGGCAGACATTCCAGTGAGCCAAGATCATGCCACTGTACTCCAGCAGAGTGAGACTCTATCTCAGAAAGAAAGAAAGAGAAAGAGAGGAAGAAAGAGAGAAAAAAAGAAGAGAGAGAGAGAAAAAAGAGAAGAGCGAGACAAAATTTTTGAAAGAGAAAAAAGAGAAAAAAGGGGAAGGGAGAGGGGAGGAAAGGAAGGAGGAAAGGAATGGAAAGGAAGGGAGTAAAAAAGGTCTCCTTATGTTTCCCATGCTGGTCTTGAACTCCTAGCCTCCCACCTCAGCCTAGAACATTCATCCATTCTAGACACTGAACTTAAGGTGTTGCATGACACCCAAGTGAAATGTCCCAGAGACAGCAGGAGGCGTGTGGTAGGGGTCTGGGAGAGAAGTAAGAACTGTGAGAGCAGGATTAAAGTGATGAGAGTTGGTGAGATTGCTGACTGAAAGAACAAGGAAGCACTGGGGCCTGTGTTGCAAGGAGTGTCCATAATGAGAGTGCAGGAGCAGGAAGAGGAACCAGGGCATGAGGAACCACAGCTGTGAGGGGAAAATCAGGGCTGGCTTGTGCTAGAGAAGCCATGGGAGAGAGTGTGGCCAGAATAGCTTCCCTGGAAAAGGTTGAAAAGAGTGGGGACTTGGAGAAACACCCATGTTCTCAGCTTGACCTGGGACCCTGTACTGTGCTCTCCAGGGCAAATTCACAGCACACTTGGGATAAGGGCTTATTATGGAAGATGGTAAGAGTCAGTGTGTGTGAGGTGCCTGGGTTCTTATTGGGAACATAGATCTTATGGGAGCCGCAAGCAGGGCTTGTCCCACTCATAGCTTTCTTTCCTCCCTCAGCTCAACCTGCTTCTCCAGTTCCTACCCTTCCTCAAGTGGGAAACTCAGGAGGCCAAGTAGGGGCAACTGTACTTCGGATGGTCAGGCCCCAGGTGAGCTTGGTTC